GACAAAAATCTTCAATTTTTACTGACTCCAAAGGCCCACTGCTCTGTTTCTGTATGACCTACAGGTTTTCTGACACTTTTGATGCATATAGTCAGAGTGGTTCAGAAGCTACAGCCATTTTAATTTGGGTATGTCATTTTAGGTGGGTTTGCTCCAAAATAGGGGTGGAGTTGAACAGGTAACAATATAGTTATTGAATACAAATCAAACCAAGAGTGAGATCAATTAGTTAAACTAATAGTGTTAATATTTGAATGGGCCCCGGACACTTTGTACTTGAAAAGTTGGGCCCCGAGGTCAAAAAGGTTAAGAACCCCTAGTCTAGTTAGACAATTCGGTCGTTCCGTCAGAAATCAATCACTTTGTGACCTTTTTAACAATTGTTTTCCTACCTGTTAATCTACATGAGTGAGTGTTAGAACGTGGTTGGATTGACCAGAAGGACCGACCATTCAGGAGACGTCCTGAAGACACGCATATCTTCTTCAACAAGAAACATATCAGTGTGGGTCTCTGTTCTTCGGAAAGCTAACAAGCAAGGTTATCCACAATTTTCAATACCTTTGGTCCAAAATGCATATTAAGGGATATTTTGTCCCTACATCTTAATGTGCAAAGATGTGTCAACTTTTTGTTTTCGTGCTTGAATATGTTAAAGGTTAGACACTGCTTTACATCTCCTGAAGTTTTCATGTGCTAAAATAAAAAAATCCGATGCTATACCTCCAAGGGACTTATTTGTACATCTCCATATGCTACATATACCTACCAAATTCCATAGATTGAGGTGAAACACACTGTGGGGTTAATAAATAGGGGGCGCTAGCGAGCCATTACACCACGCCCATTCACAAGACCCATATAGAGCAATCAGTATTAAAATGACTCTTTTATAATCAGTTAAAAGTTCCTTTTAGTGACTTTAATTTGGTAAACTAATCAAGAGGATTTTCATGTTGCAGATCGATGGTTCTTCTAAACAAAGAAACGCTGACAGATGAGTCAGCACCAAACAGAAGCCCATTCCAAGCAATCAAGTCAGGACCTCCTTCCAAAGGGACACTCCTTGCTCTGTGCCAGTCTTATAGACATTGTAAACCCTTTCTACTCTTTACAGGAGGTACCTTGGAGAGGGGGGTGCTGGTCTGTGGCCGTGCGTCATCTCCACACGTCTCTGGGAACCTGGTGTGTTTGCGGATGCTGCGGACGGCTCTCTTAGCCCACCGCTGCTTCTGACACGTCTGACCAGCATTGCCTCGGAAGCTCAACACACTGTGGAACCTGAGACACAAACAGAAACATCGAGACAGACATTCACCGTGTGACAACCGCTCCACTACGTCGACACACCATGACACTTCACTTACATACGACTCTCTGTTAGATCGCTTAGTAAGAAAATAATAATTAAAAGGGCAGGGTGTAGGAATTAGTGGTATCTAGTGGTGAGGTTGCAGATTGCAATCAACTGAATAACCCTCTGCTCACTCCTCTCTTTCCAAGCGTGGAGAGAACTACGGTGGCCTTCATGTAACGTAAAAACCTGAAAGTCTCTCTAGAGTCAGTGTTTGGTTTGTCCGTTCTGGGCTGCTGTAGAAACATAGCGGTGCAAAATGGTTGACTCCATGAGGAGGACAGACTCCTTATGGAGATATAAAGGGATCATTCTAACCTAACGAAAACACAGTTCTTGGTTTCAGGTGATTATACACTAATGAAAACATAGTTATGAATATTATATTCCATTTCTGCCAATAGTTCCCTCAAAATGTTACACACTGGTCATTAAAGGATCCCAACCGCACTGATAATGGCCTTCTCAACCGGTTAACAAGATATCTTCAAATATTGTATATAAATACTGATTTAAGGGCAAACTCACATTTTTATCAACATACCTCATGTTGCACTTAAACTTAACAGAATTGAGTATTCTTGAATGTTTTATTTATTTATTTCATTCTGTTTCAAATTGGATATCTTCAATATTGGTGTTTTTATGTAAGACTATAGCCCAAAGTTCTTTTATTTAAGTGTTCTTGAAGTTCTTTAATTAATAAATGGAAAGCAAAGTTATATTCGTCTCCTCCCCTTTTCTTTGCTGATCCGAAAAATTATCCGAACCGAACCATGAGGTTTGTGATCCGTTGCACCCCTTGGAAATAAAGATACAAATGGTGTGCGGTAGTACAGTAAGTAAATTGAGTAAAGTATAGTCACATAGTATCTGTTAACACATCTTAATGAGCTGCAGACAAATTGTCAACATGCTGTACAAGACCAAAAAAAAGTCAGTAAAACAACTGTAAACAGCATCAAAAACAGTCTGCTGGAAAAGCTCTCTGGCTATGACAGACTTCCAGCGCTCGTTAAAGCACAGCAGAGCTTTTTGACCAACAGAGGTGCAAACAGACCCCCCCCCCC